AGACAATTGCGTCTGCCCATATCCGTCCGCACGCTCCGACCCAAGGCGAACTTGTCTCCAGGGATCAAAATGCAATGCAGGCAGCTCTGAGCGCGAAAAGTCTACGGGCCGCGCAAACACGGCCCGGGGCGCGCGGGGTGCCAGTGGACATAGTAGTGGACATGTATCATCCACCCCTCGCATCTCTCGTGCGGTTAGTTATACATCATGCGTCAGGCCCTCGTCCAATCCCATCTCTTCCTTCATCGGTCTCGGTCTGACCTTCTCGGACCCATTCTCATTCTGGCAGCGCATATCCCAATTTACACCACGAACGAAACAAAACGCCCCCGCCTCGTGTTCGCCTTTCTCCACTTGTAGCTTGTTGCTCTCGCGGCGCTTCCCTGTCTGGGGCTGGACTCGGTCGGCCTGACCTGACCTGTGTATGCCCTATGATCATGGCTGATTTCATCGATTACGAGATCAATCAGCCGCACGGCCATCGTTGGGTCAACCTCCATCCACTAACGTTCTGCGTCGTGTCGCTGTTCTCTCCGGACTTTCTTCTCTTGGGACAGAACGGACGCTGACGGATGACCGCCCCTTTCCTTTTTTCTTCGCCTTCCGTCCACGTCCAAATCCTTCGTTCATATCCGCGCGTCAGGGCATCTTCTTCATCGCGTCTTCGGTCTCCTCGGACTCGTTTGTCCCGCATCATCATCATGACCACGAAATTGACACCTACACCATCCGGCCTGCAGAATCATTACTCCGACCGACCCCGCTCTTTTCCCCGGCCAATGCCGTGGACTCTTCCGTTTGCCCCGCACGCACGCGTGTGCATCGCGCGCGAACACAAATGAAAACTAGCTTTTCTCGGTGCTCGTTGTACTTTACCTCGCAACAGTCACTTCACGCACCACCCCTCGCGCTGCTTCGTTTTGTTCTTATTGTGGTTGGGTTCGTAAAAGAAACGACGCATCATTCCACGATCGCCTGCTCAGGCGCCCCGCCCGCCGCGCAGTGGCGCCGCCTCTCTCCCGAACGAGCTTCCGAGCGGTTCGCGGGCTCCTGTTTTTGTGCTTGTGCTTGTTTTTGTTCTCTCTTTGTATTTGTGCATCAGCGATATCACCGCGGTATCGCCTCTTTGCATATCAACTTCTAGCTTCGGCCCTTGCGATATCTGAATCAGCATCTGCGCCATCGCCATCTCCACGTTCATCTTTTTCTCTATTGTAATTGCCCGCCATCGGCGTGCGGCGGGTCGGTCGGTTTGTCCGCCTCCCTCCTTTTGTTGTGTTGATTCTGTTCTATTCGGGTTGGGCTCTGGGCTTCATTCTCTCAACAGTGTCCCGAATTCTAGATTACAAAGGACAAAAGGTCTGATGTCGAGCAATATCGTGATGTCGTGTTGTCTTGTTCTTAGACTCCGAAGTCAGCGGTGCAGCGATCGGCGGGCTCCTCGAACCGCCGGTATGAGGGGCAGCCCCGAGGAGCGTTTGAGGAGCTGTCAGGTGTCCAATGTCAAACGTCGAAACGTCCACCGTTCGGTGCATCCGATCGACTCAGCCACCGATCCATGCTCTCGCCCTGCTAATCTGCGACGAGCTAATCTTGCTCGCTCGCTCTCTGGCGCCCACAGCTATGCACAGTGCGAGACCCCCGGTCAGCCAGCGTGGCTGGACCGCCGTGTGTTATTCCCAAAAAACTGACAAGGCATTTTTTCTGCCGCCGATAGCCTGCGAAGATGAACAAGCCCTCAGCCTCGAGGCTCGAGGCCTGTGTCGTACTTGGGTTCGAAGTGATGCGCGAGGCAAGGAGGCGCTACGGTACGCTACCGGTAACGTGTCCACGCTCACGCTCACGCCCCACAGCTCGTTTACAGCACTGGCACGGCCGCCCTCCCTCGTCGACACGTTAGCACAACGTCGATCGATTGGTGGGTGCGTTCGATGGAGCGCACTGGGCTTCTGCAGCTCCTCGGTCGGTGCCGAGCTGCGCTCTGCCCTATCTGCCTCGCCTCGTTTGTTCGCCGTCTAGCTGGCTATACAGGTTCGTTGGATTTCCCACTACAGCATATCGACGGTCTGACGATCTGACGCAGGACAAGTGCTGGCAGAGATCGCATGACCGTCTGTGCCTTCCCGGCCATCTCTCTGGCCCAGCGGTGTCCAGATTTTCTGCGATGTTTGAGGCACGCTGACCAGCCTTCTTGGAAATCACAGAGATCGAGTTATTTGCTCCTTCCGTCGGATCCGTCAAGGGCGCGTCAGCCCAGTGGCGTTCCAGACACGCTTGCTGTACGAGTCTGAAATCTATCTGAAGCAGCCCTTCGTTCGTTCGAGCTTCTCGTAATCGTCGAAAGCGGTAAAGGGTGTACCCGTTCACGCCGCACCGCGGCTCCCGCATGACCGCCAGCCACCCGTCATGGAATTGTATCTTCAGGCGTCTGTGCTCTCGTCCTCTCTCATGTCCTATTCGAGGATGTATGATGAGGATTTAGCGTTCGGACCCCTGATTTCTGATCCATGTGTTGCTGCATGGTGGATGGGTTTGCATAGCTCTGTGCTTCGCGCTTCGCCGTCGGAAACGAGACGGGGACGGGGCGCGGAATTGGAACGCGTACACACACTGGCAGACACAGATGCAAATAAAACGCAGACGGACACAGACACAGGGTGCGAAGTGGGAGGAAGCGCGGACGAGGACTGGGGAGGAGAGGTGAGGTTAACGTTCCGATCCAGCGTTTTAGCGTCTCAGCAGCTTCTGTCTCGGAACGCCGTTGAGAGGAGCTTATCCGCGAAGGTTGCTTGTATGTCGGGCACATTTTAGAGATGCTTTGAACTTCAATTTCTTGAGCGCCCGTTCGCACCTCAGAGCGACCCTGCATCGAGAAGACACAGTGCAGGTCGCCGAGCGATCCCGTGGGCTGCTTGGCGCCTCAGCCTCGTTGATCAGACTCGGTTTTTGGGAGCACAGATACCCTACTGGGTACATGTCGTTTTTCTCGTCGCTTCTGGGTTATGACACCGGTGTTTCTTCAGCTCAGTTTCAACATGACATGCGTATGATGTGCCCCTGCGCGCTCGCGCTTCTGCTACTGCTGCTGCTGCTACCAGTGTCACGGTCCATTCATCTTACACCCGCACCGAATCGCGCCGCGCCACACCCGGAACCGGTTTATCTCATCTCCTTCTTTCTTTCGCTTCGCGTGGTCTTCTATTCGCTCGCTCGAGAAGCATCGCGGGCTGCGGCACATTTATGCAGCCCGTCCGTGCGCCCCCAAAAAAGAGCAGCGAGCCAAACTCGGGCCTGCGTCCATGCGCATCCACAGTCACGCGGGACGCGGAGCGCGGGGGGCGAGGGGACGAGGGTTCGGGACGAGACGACACACCCCCTGTGCGCGGCTGGCCTCGCGGTGCACACGAGGCGCGTGCGAGCGACGCGTCATACGTGCGGACGTGCTTGCTCTGCTCGTGTCCCTCGCTCTCCGTCGGAGGCCTGGTTGTTGGATAGCCTTGCGTGCGACTCCGTGCTGCGCCGGTGGCTGTTCGAGGTCTTGGGACCACGGCGATCGCATGGATAGGCTGGATCGTCTGCCTTGCTTGGGGATTTTCTTCGGGCCAGCCTGTATGAGAACTGGCGCCGAAGAAAGGTGTGTTGATTAACGCTGGTCCGTGCGCGAGAACGGTGTCCTAGGGAAAGAGTAAGGTATCAAAGTGCTACTTCTTCCATGGCCGTCGTAAATCTGACTTGTTGCTTCCAGTACTTGCTCGGGTGAAGTCTCCAGTCTGTCGATTTCGTGTACAGTTTTACTGATTTTATGTTGGACTTTATAATTAGCGATGACATCCACCCCACGTGGTACTTCCCTTGTTAGTCGATGCCGCGGAGGTTTTAATATTGCTTTGGTTCTACTTCCTCGGGCTGCACGATTTACGGTGGACAAGTACGCCTTCACAACTGAACTTTTGCCGTAAACCCAACTTAGCTCACTATCAGCTTTAGGCTATGCAACTTTGCTACCTGAGGAAGTTTGGCCGAAAATGGGCTGAAGCGCGAGCTTATCCAAGGTGACTGCCCATATCAAACGCCAACATATAATCCTATAAACTTCTAACAATTTACGACCATACAGGCCACCGGCTACCAATACATACCACAACCACGTCAAGAAGCCCAAGTAAAACCCCAATATTCCCAGATTCTTATTCCATCTGGCTGCAAGCTTGGCATACGGCTCAGACGTACTTGACAGCAACAGTGTCGCCGATCGTGACCTGCGTCAAGACCTCGCCGTTCTGCTCGATGTCGATGGCGGTCGCGCCCGAAGGCGTGACCTCACCAGAAGAGGTGGTGGCATACGCGTCGGTGAACGTGACGGTGCCCCAGTTGGTAAGTTCCACGAGTGAGTCGCCCTCCTCGTAGTCCTCGACAATCCACTCAGCGTTCTCTTCGCAGAGCGCGTAGGTGGAGGTCAGGTCCTGGGTGACGGTCACGCCGGTAGTCGTGTTCTCGATGACGGCGGTACCGGAGGTGGTCGAAGTCGCGGTGACGGTGGTCTTGATGACATCACCAGCGGAGATGGTGATGCCGGAGAAGTCGTAGGCGTAGTCGGGGTACCATTCGTACCAGGCTAGAGGATAGGTGAAAACGTGGTGAGTGGAGCATTGTAATGGCGCAGGGGAAGAAAACTGACCATCGTAGGAGACTTCGCCGTCGGAATAGGTGAAGTCGACACCCGTCTGCAGAATGGCGGTCTCACAGGTGTCACCGTCAATGCCAACCCAGGCCGAAGCGGAGCCTTCAGTGGTGGGCGTGGGGACCGTGAAGGTACCAGTCACAGCGGTGTAAGTACCCTAATCAGATAAGCGCTGTTAGCAGAGTAGTCCAGATTCGACAGTTTGATAAGCAGCACTGACGTCACCCTCAGCATAAACAGCGCCAGCCCAGTTCTCGCTGTACTCGGTGTTTGAAATGCGCTGGGCGGGCAGAGACTGACGGCCATTAGCAGCACGACGAGCAAGACGTGATGCAATGCGCGACTTGGGAGCTGCGAGGGCAGCAGATGCGAGAAGAAGGTTGGTGAGGAGAGCGAACTTGTACATCTCGACGATCTGGGGAAAGCTACAACGAATTGCGACTTGTAGACCTGGTGCTGACTATTGAGAGCCGCAGCGCATTAGGCTTTTATGCGTTTTGTGTTCCCCTCCACGGGAGACCTTGCGCAGTCGAGGTGAGAACGATGGGGCATGCACCACATGCAAAGTGGTCCTGGCAGATTGTCGTTGTTCCTGGATTGTGGACGATTTTGGCGCGGCTGGGACTTGGCGATGAAAACAGGCCACTCACTTCACATCTTTTCATAGCGATGGCGGGAAGTCAGCCCTCCTGTTGTACAGTCGGGCCGCCTTGAGCTTACGTTCCCTGTGTGATACACACGTACTGCGCTCAAAGACTTTAATTAGCCGCGTTACCGCGCGCTTTTACTGTAGTTCCATTCCCAGACGAATCAACATGAATGCTCACAGAATAATCAGCTGTACGCTCACCTAAGCTACCTTTTTTTTGCCTCATAAACACAATATAGGAATAACCCCAGTTTGCTTGTTCACGGGGCGTTCACGTTAGTCTCGATCAAGCGCAAATATCCGTGCAGGTACTTGGCGTGGCGTATTCATGGAACATTCAGGCACACCACTACGAGATAAGCGTTTTCGACCTGATTTTCTCGGCGATAAAATTAGCATGTCCGTTTGGGCGCTTCATATACTCGCCCGATGATAGGGGGACAGCGCTCGCAAACAGGCACCATCTCTGCGCAATAAGACGATGAGCGGTACTAAGTTATACGCTGGACTATTCGATGAATCATTCTATACTACTTTCATTTCACTAAGCTGTTCGATTTCGCATTGGCAGTCACTGATCATAGCATGCGCTGAACAGTAACTGGGGGCGAGCTTGCTAGTTAGCAGATACACTGTGTTAAGAACGTCTTTGAAGTAGATATCGTACATGTGCCTATACATTAAAATGAAGTAGTTTTATTTAAGGACCCAAGTCGTGTAGGGAGTACAGGCACTGTGACCATGCGTATCATAGGCACTCGGCAAGCCTTAGTAAAGTCAGCAGTTGAAAGGGGGTGTGAGACGTGCCAAGATATATACGAGCGATATCGGAGTTTAAGGCCCTCCTCCATACGCGTTCAGACGAGGTCACTGCAATGACTAGACATCGACTGCCACCCTGCTTACCAGGTACCCAGATTGAGGATATGGCTGACAAAGGTTTGATACCACGGATTACGCGTATGTTTCACCAATCCTCACTGTCTCCAATGGCTTCTCGCTCGTTCCAGCGTGAAATACTGTTTTGACGTCATCATCCAGTTCTTCTTTGTATTCTCCTTTGTGGCCCCAGAAGAGACGGCTCTGTTCGTCGCCCTGGTCAGGCCACTCATCGATAAGATTTGCGAGCGTCTGGAAGTGACCATAGGCAGCTGGCTGCGGTCCTCGGGGGCGAAGAAGAACCAGAACCGTGAAGACTGCAGACAGAACGGCAGCTGCAATGCTCAGATTCCAGTACTGGTCAAAAACGTCACGATAACTAAGTAAGCTGAAAGTTGCAAGCTCGGGATTGTGGCTTACTTGATATGCGTTCAGGTAAACGTAGTGCCAAGCTAGCTCTCCAGGATTCTCGAGCCCTATCACTACGGTGTTGGCCAAACTCATCATCCAGTCTTACAGTATACAGTATATTAGACCAGCGAGAATAAGAAAAGAGGAGCGACGTACGAAGGATAGGCTTCGAGGCTAGTAGCAGCAAGTAGGGGGGACTGAGAATGGCTCGAATAATGCTCGTCTCCAGCGGCGATCCCTTAGCACTGGTCGTTTCTCTCCAGACTTGCTCGTCGCGCAGTGCACTGGCGACATTGCCGGCTTGGTGGAGTGCGAGTGCAAGCGAACCCTGAATGATAGACAGGAGGCCGAAGAGCGAGAACCAAACCTGGCCCTCGGTGTTGTGAAGGAACACACTTGCCGAAGGGGAACCGGGTCTCGCGATGAGAGTCCAGCCTGTTGGGGCGATGTCGCCGAGGTATGGGCTGCTGTTGTACATGAAGATCCCGCCGAATCCTGCGCAAACGCCCGTGAGAATCCACATGGATATCATGGTCACGCGAACATCTCGGCGGGCTTGCCAGGCGGACGGCTGGGATGGCGAAGGCTTCAGAGGGCATGGGCCACTACCGAGGTGAGTGACATTGCACATGCAGCGTCCTTTGGTGTGGTGGATGATGCGAAGACGGGACAGCGCAAGAGTAGTCCCGAGAGCAGTGCTGTCCCATGTGATTATCCTAGTTGTGTGGAGGCCGTAGGCAGCAATCAAGGCTTGGACGACGAGGCAGATCCCCAAAGTAATCATGGGGACAAGACTGACAAGGAGTGCATTATCATCCGATTGTTTGGTAAAGATACAGGTTGCCGATACGGTGGATAGGATGAAGAGCGCTGCCGTTAGAATGTTACAATAGAGACCATTGGGCCCTGTTATCCGACGTTTGCGTGTTGCTGTAAAGAGCCGCGCCTTGTTATTGAAGTGAAGCCGGTTCTCTTCGGTGAGAGCCGAACGAAGTGTTACACCATGAACATAGCCAATAGCCTCCGTCGTGATGGTTACCAGAAAGCTGAGGAACAGAGTCAAGACCTCCGGCAACGATTCAAAGCTCATCGCTACGACTCGTTGAGACGCGGGTCCAGAGTCGTTTTTGTGAGACGCAAGGTCAACTGCGCCTGAGATGACGAATGCTGCACCTATCAAAAAAGTGAACACTAGAGAAACGATTGAGGCACGTCGCGAGAGAAGATCCGACTTCGGAAGTGGAGCCAGAGGTAGAAGACGCGATGGCAGGTCAGTGCTAGTGGCCCTTTCACCTCCGGCTACCATTTCGTACTGCTCTCGTCTGGTGTCGTAGGGATGAAAGACCATGATGGAAATAAGCGAGTGCTGGGCGCGAACGGCGAGGTGGGTAAAGTGTGATGGTCGTTCGGAGCGTGCCTGCACTTGAATTAAGCGCCCGTTAGCTAGCAATTTTAAGCCATCAAAGTCTGACGTTCATGTGGCACTTTGTCATGCTGTTCCGGTGGCAGTTGATTAAGTGCCGAACCAGGGCGCCGAATAGTGCCAAGTCAACGCGGAGAAACTCTATGTTATCTCATCCTATTTTGACGCGGTAGCGGCTTAAAAAGTAGCAATGGGATGCTAGAAGCTGGTGTCACTATCACTATACCACAAAATACACCTTAAAAAGAGCACAATGGACGTGTCAAACGAGACATCCCACAAGCAAAAACAAAGCCACGTTGGTACGGTGAAAAGCTGCCAAGATCTTCGTGTGAACTACTTTGCTATAGGGTATGTGAAAACAGGATTGTTAAGCGCTTGATACCTCACAACAGCCACGAGCGTGCTAAACCACAGCAATTTGCTTCACACGACCGCTAAGATGACATGGATGTGGTAGAGATACATTGCTATTTCTCGGTTGCCATGTCATGACCGACATCGGGAAAAAGGTCATGGAGAGTCTAGTCAGGACGGATTCAATGTCAGAATGCAAGCCACGTCGTCTATGCGAACTAGTACTCACAGAATGCATTCGCTGGACGTTGGCTGTCAGTTTGTCGTACCGCTTTTGTACTTTCTTGTGACCTTTGACCTCGCGAGCAAGTCCCGTCTCAGCGAGCAGCCTTTGCTCGTTCTCATCAGCTAACTGGTTCTGCAGCCGGTTGAGCTCCATAACGTGCTTGAGTTGAACTGACGATATGTTGTTATCAAGGGATTATGATCGAAGGAGATGAAGTCGTAACGTACGTTCGGATATCCTTTGTTCTAGTGCCTGTATCTTGACTTGAGCTGTCTTCAGCTCACCCTCTTGTGTTTGCACCTGGGCTCCGAGTGCGTGTTCCATTGCTAGCGTGGTATCATTGAAGGCGCTCAGAAGAGCAGCGTGATACGTACCTTTCCCAAAGACTTTCATCATGTCATCCACGGGCGCAACGTCGAGAGTCCTTGTTGTGGAAACAGAAGTCGCGGAGTGAATGATATCATCCGCTCTTTGAGCCTTGGAGGTATTGGCCTATATGGGACGGATGATAAATCGAGGTCTTTGGGTAAAAAGACGAAAGTACGCACTCGAGACTTCTTGTGAGACTTCACGGTAGGAGGAGCGTCTTCGTGCACCCGTTTGCCTCCTTTCGCCCTCGTCTCTAGCAATCTCTTCACGACCGCCCTCCCGTTTCCAACGTCGTCCAGACCAAACTCCATTTCCTCGAACATATCCTTCCTTTTTCCAGATATAGCCGGGCGACCGAACCATCCCATCTCATGTCCGTCACACCACAGTAATCTATCGGCGTGGGGGAAATCTGGGTGAGCTATGAGCAGCGATCTGAACTCTGACCAAGTCGTCTCGTTGAGTTGGGACGCCATCGTTCTCTTGCTGGGAACAGGTCCTCGCCATTCCATCCACTTGCCGATTTGCCGCGCATACAGCTCGCTTGATTCAGTGTCTAGGAAGGTGTCGCCGGGACGCCCGAGATCGGAGGGTGGAGCCGTTGGGCCTTCGTACGCGTGGTAGGGAACATATGTCATTGTGCCCGGCGCGTATAGTTCGTAGCCGTGCTTAAAAATCTCTGCCGCGCGGAACTTCTCCGTACTGAGGAGGAGGTGTTGAACGCTGACGGTAATATTGTAGTCTCGACGGAGGTCCTCGACGTTTGACGGGATATATGCGCATGGATGAACAGCCATAGCGCTGAGGGCCGATTTGGAAAATGAACGAGGATAAAGTGAAGGGCGGAGGCGGGTCAGCGGGTGCTTGGCACTCACTGGAGGCGTTGAAGAGGTTTACGTCAAACCATCACCCTGGTCCTTACAGCTTGACGACAATAAACTAGGTTCCATGCTTGCTATCCGGCATATGCTACCCGGTAGGCAAGCGTTCTTGAGGCTTATAGGTGATATTGAAAGCATCACCATTCTTGGTGTTGGTGCAAGTAAGAAAGATAGAGGTCGACCGTCGACGGCAGGTCGTTGGTGTGTGCCGAGAAGCCCGACCCGTCCGCCCACGTGGAATGGACAGGGGCTTACCAAAAGTGAACCGCAGTCTCTGGTCAGGTCGCGCCACTTTACCCCGAATTCCAGACTGGCGTTCTCGCCGTCGTCGTTTGTTATCTCTCCACCACCACTCCTCCATCTATCCCTCTTGTTTCAACCAGATCTGCCGCCTTTAGCATTTGCGCGTGCAAGCTTTTGCGCTCTGCCTTTCATAGCTTGATGGTGCAGGACGCAGTCTCGGAAGTGTCATCACATACACCAGTACGCGTTCTTTGAACTTCGGCAAGATGGCAGACGGCAACGACATCGAATCTGCTCAACCCGCTGGCGTCAGATCCCTCAGGTCAAGGTTTGAGAGCATATCGACCGAATCGCCCACTCTCGCTCGCAGTCCCAAGGCGGCGGGCACGCATACACCCACCCCCAAGCAGGCGGGCATCCCACCTTCTACGTCAGACGCGCACCGCCCGTCCTCACGCATCGCGTCAGGCAAACTCGAACACCTCATTGCATCTCCCAACTTATCACCAGTGTCACATCATCTCCGCCAGTCTTCGGTCACCAACCAACCATCTCCCGATCCCAAGAACAGACCTCCCCCGCCACCTCCCCCCCATATAGCACATCCACGAGAGCCTTCTACCGATGAGCCACTATCTCCCGACCCCAAAGCCAGACGCCCTCCTCCCCCTCCACCCTCTGTTGTTCGCGCGAATGTCAATAAGCCCTTACTTGCGGGCGTCGTCTCCCCCCTTCTTCGGCCCGTTCCGTCCCCCAGCATTAATTCACTCAATTCTCCAAGCTTAGCAGATACCTTAAGTCCAAGGTCCGACAACTACTTCGAAACCCATGATATTGGAGATGAGCCGCCTCGACCTGTCAGCGTTGCATCCTTGCGCGATCGGTTCTCGTAAGTCATCACTATTTTTGTTTTTGCCATTCTATATTACCGCCTTCTTGGTGGAAGGTTTTCCATTCTACTCGAATGGTCCTATCCGCACTTCTTGCTCACGTCCGTGCTCGACACTCTAGGCAACCAACCAACTCTTCGCCTCCTCGTAGCATCACACCTAAACCCTCTCCCGTCGTCCATGTCCAACCCTCGACCTCGCGAAGCGAGCCGCTGCTCTCTCCTACACCCCCCGTCCCCCCTCGCCATACCAAACCCGAATCCAGCCGCATTCTTCCATCAAACATAGTCGAGAGTCCACAAGAGGCTCGTCCCCGCACAGCACCAGCTCCGCCTCCCCATCCTCGCCACACTGCCAGCCCCAGTCCATTCTCCGAAGACGAATCAGATGAATCTACCAGCACGAACGATCGCAGACCCCGACCAGTCCCACCTCCTAAACGACCTCGCCCCTCTGAGGGCAGCCTTCACCAACAGCACATATTAGGCTACCAAGGCTCCACCGAGAGCTTTAGCTCCAACGACAGCATATCCAGCCTCTCTTCATCTCCGAACCCGCCACCCAAGCCACCAACTCGCCTTCATTTGCACCCACCGCCTCCACCACCTCCTGCCCGTCACAATGGCAATCATCACCATGCAAACGGTAGCACGAGTCAGCACGTGGCGGACTCTTCGTCATCGGACTACGCGTCCAGCTCAACACCTGTATCGTCTACCGCACCCCCTCTTCCCGTTCGTCGCATCTCGCCTAGCTCTTCCTTGCCCGAGATCACTTCCCCGCCTCCGCCTCTTCCGACCAGAAACAGCATCAATATCTCCGGGTTCCTCGACAACGTTGGCTCGCCCGGCCCGGAACGCAAGCCTCTTGGAAGCAAGAACTTACCACCTCCGCCGACGCGGACGATTGGACTCGGAGAGAAGCTTCCGCCTATGCGCAGAGCGCAGTCCCCCTCGTCTGATGAGGAGTCGGAGGAAGATGATCCGCGCCTGCGTGCGGTAGAGATGATGCCAGATGCGTCCCGGTCGTCCAGGCGCCCTCCGCACGCGAACTGTTTCCAATATCTCGACTACAAGATACATGTCCCTGCGTATAGTGGTCATGCTGCGGTCGCCGGATCGAGTGTTCTCGTCACAACTCCACACCACATTCGGTACTACGACCTTAGCGTCAGCGACATCTACTTGTGGAGTGCCGACATGAAGGAGCTGGGTATGCGGGATATGAAGGTCACTGCCATGGAGTTCGCGCCTCCCGGTTACGGCGCTGATGGCGGCGAAAAGCCCGGGAGCGTTGTCTGGCTGGGCATGAAGGAGGGCCATCTCGTCGAGTTCGCGGTCAAGTCGCGCTCGGTGCTTGCAACGAAGCTCGGCGCCCACGCCCACGCGGTAACGCATATCTTCCGTCACGGGCGGGCTATGGTCAGCCTGGACGACAGCGGAAAGGCGCTCGTATTTGAGCCGCCACCGTCCCAGAATCCAGCGCTAGCCATGGCGCCGAGTCTCGCGATCACGCCGCCGCGTGCGGTTCGTACGGCGGAGAAGCAGGATTTCGCAGCGCTCGTCGGCGGGCTGCTGTGGATGTCCGCGCGAGGAGACACGGCGCACGCTGCGGGCGGCGCTGGTGGACCAGCAGGTAGCGCAGTGCCTGTCATTCGCGTGTACGACGTGTTTGCCCCTGGCAATATCGGGCGGAGTGTCTTGCCTACTCAGCATGCAGGTGCGGTGACGTGTGGGACGATGATGCAGTCGCAGCCCGGGATCGTCTTCATTGGGCACGAGGGCGGGTATGTCAGTCTATGGGACATCAGCTCAGAGGGTGATGGCTCGGAAGGCACCACTCCGGCGTGTATAGAAGTTATGAAGGTCGGTGCGTCGGATGTGTTGTGTCTCGCAGGCGTCGCGGATAGGTTGTGGGCTGGAGGGAGAAAGGGGATGATCATGGCGTACGATGTGTCGCAGAAGCCGTGGGTCGTGACGAACGCATGGGCTGCGCACAAGGATCTGCCTATTCTGAGGATGTCCGTGGATCCTTATTCCATCGAGAAAGTGGAGCGGCTGAGCGTCGTGAGTGTTGGTCGGGATGAGCAGTTGCGGATTTGGGATGGATTGCTGGGGGTGGACTGGGTCGGTGAGTCACCGTCTTTCGGATTTGCACGTACTCGCTTGAGGAAGTGGCTAACGAATTTCTATTGTTGTAGACCAAGAACTCCTCAAGCGGGAGAAGCTATTCAGCAGTTTCCGCCCTCTTAACGTCCTGGTGGTCTCGTGGAATGTCGACGCCGCTAAACCGGACGCACTCACCGGCAACGAGATAAACCTCAACTTCCTCTCGGACGTTCTCAGCTCTGTCGACCGCCCCGATATCATTTCGTTTGGCTTCCAGGAGGTCATCGACCTCGAATCGCGCAAGATGGCGGCCAAGAACCTGCTTCTCGGCGGCAAGAAGAAGGGCGAGGACGGTCGGATCTCGGAGAAGGTGACGAGTTCGTACAGGCGCTGGCACGATCGGCTCGTGCTTGCTGTTCAGCTCGCGATGCCTGCCGATTGCCCATATACCGTGATCCATACGGAGAGCCTTGTGGGCTTGTTCACCTGCATATTCGCGAAGAACACGGAGAAGGTCGTTATGAAGGACATCGCAGTCGCATCGATCAAGCGAGGGATGGGTGGGCGGTATGGTAACAAAGTGAGTCGTTCATCTCCATCTTCGAACGTAAATGCTGAAACGCCTTTGCGTAGGGCGGCATTGTATCCCGTTTCGTGATCGATGACACGTCCGTATGCATGATCAATTGCCATCTCGCGGCTGGCCAGCACCACGTTCAGCAGCGTAATGCTGACGTCGCCGGTATGCTCGAGGAGAAGGACGTCCTCCCTGCCGCTCGTGTGTTCGAGGATCCCATCGCATATGTCGGTGGAGGCGACGGTTCTATGGTGCTCGACCATGAAATCGTTATTGTATGTTTTATTCTATTCTCTTTCCTAATGACATACTAACACGCGTTTCATTAGGTCAACGGCGACATGAACTACCGCATCGATCAACGTCGCGAGCACATCATCGCTGCCATTCACTCCCGCGATTGGGAAGCCCTGCTCGCTCACGATCAGCTCGCCAAGGAGATGCGGTTCAATCGTGGCTTTCGTTTCCGCACGTTCAGTGAGGGCCCGCTCACGTTTGCGCCGACGTACAAGTACGACCGCGGATCGGACGAGTTCGACTCCTCGGAGAAGCGGCGAGTGCCTGCCTGGTGCGACCGTGTGCTCTGGCGCTCCCGTGTGCCCGAGCGTCTCGTGCAGACGCATTACTGCCGCTGGGAACCCAACATCAGCGACCATCGGCCGATCAGCGCAGGCTTCGTCATCACGATCAAGAGCGTGGACGGGGATAAGCGTCGTCGTGCCAAACGGGAAGTTGAGAAGATGTGGGATGCGCGGCAGGTAGAGCTGCTCCACCAGACGCGGGATTGGTACTCACTGCAGGCGATGATTGTATGATGGGCCGCGTGCTGTGAGGTTTTGCATACTAGAATTACAAGCAGCATCTGTATTACTGAGACAATGTTCTCTGCCATTGGACATTTTTGGGACTTTAGGTAGACTACGGGTGCCATTGGAACCTGTACCCACTATCATTATGTACTTGATATGGAACCCTTGAGCTATGTCTTAGCTCTTCGCAAGTGGGATGCCGCCTTTGTGCTTATCGAGTGTCGTCTGCTCGAACCGCCATGGGATCGTTATGAGTCCAGCCTCCTATGGCAAAACTCGTTCTTATCATGAGGCACAGTAGTTATAATGCGAACGCGGCCGGCCTAGTCGTGTTCGCAGAAGCGAATAATGGGGCCCGCAGACGCCCGTGTTTCTCGAATCAAATAATTGTTCCTGGGATTGGGTAGCGACTCGTAGGCAGGACAGCACCAATTGTCAGCTGAAAGACATATGAGAGACATTTTATGCAAGAATTCAAACACTACCTACTTGCATCATGATTCACAGCCTTGACTTCACCATCGAGCAACTTTATCTGCCGCGAGCGTCTTTACTCGATCAACGAGCGTGAGAAAATGTGGCGCCACCAGCGTCAACAAGCTGTGTGCGTGTGATGTGATGCAGGGCACACGTTTCTCCGCGACCATCGCCGTAAGTGCCTCCCTCACGATCGCGCTTTGGTCATTCTAGAAGCTTACGCCATCCAATCTCTCAATAGCTTGATAACAATGCCCCCTTTAGACACGTCTCTAGACTCCGGAGGCAGCGCTGGCAACCTGGCAAAGTGTGGGTGGTCGCCTGTTCCCCCGACGGCGCCTTGATTGCTTCGGGCTCGCACGATGAAACGGTACGAATATGGGACTCACTATGAAAAGTAATTGATGCAAAATTTGCACTACCGGTACCCAAATCGATTGGTTTGCAGCAAAATGGTGTAAATCAGATTTGGATACCTGATAGAGCAATGCGAATTTTGTGACTTCGCGGAGTGGAGCGCGATTGTGGCATCGGCTGTACTGATGGGAATCGATGACTAAGCGTGGATACTTATGACGCACTCGAGTTCTCTCTTCTTCCGCGTCCCACCTTCATCGTTCCCTTTCCATTCCCTTCCCGTTCCATCAGTCACCGTCGCTTCCGTGCCCGTATGTCGCGCCGGAGCGCTCTTCAAACCATAATGGTAAGTGCTCTGCTCTCGCTGCCCGCCTGATGCATGCGCTGACGCTGCACTCTCCCTGCCTTTAGAACATTTCGCCAGTACTGCCGCACTAAAGTAAGCACCCCATACTTTACTTGTCCTATGTGCCCTGCCCATCCTTACTAGTACTACGTGCTATTGGTGCCTTATCTGTCCCCTCCTCGGTCTATCCTACCTCTCACATCTCCCTGTTCCCCCTTTTCGCCACCCTCCCTGGGCATTATGCGTTACCCGTGCCATGGTGTACTGTATATAGACCCATGCCATCCCTGTATTGTAGTCATTGTCTGAATATATTGCCATGTGCTTGATTTACACTGCGTGAACGTGTGAATACCGGTTGATCAATATCCGAGGGTAAGGGGTCTATGCTAGCTAATTTGCACTAAAATGTGGCAAATTTTGCACTTTGAGTACCCAAAATCGATAAGCAAAATCTTAACTTTTCCCGGCAAAATTTGCAACTCGGTTTACAGCAAAAATTGCATTACTGTAAGCAAAAATTGCACTGAAAGGATGCAAATTTCACGCATAAATGGTGCAAATGAGTAGTGCAAAATAGTGTACGGTGAACAACTTCTCACCAACGTTGCTAACCGGGTCACTGACGGTCAATGACCTGTCACGAGTCACTAACCCTGTCACTGACCGGGGGAGGGGAATAGGGGTATTTATTTTGTAGTACGCTACAGATTACCGTGTAGTGACCATGCTGACGAGTACTACATGTCCCAATCACCCTCGTTGAGCACACGCTGCACCTGTACGGAAGGGACTTCACGGGCTGTAGTCTCTTCTACGGCTGCCTCGTTAGAATCCACAAGGCTCTCGTCGGAAAGCATATCCAGTAGTATATACGAAGAGAGATCAACTGCGGCAGCCAGATCAAACTGCTCACAAGAATAACCTTCTTTCTCCTTCTCCTCAGTTGTCTCCTCCGGTGTGAGCTCACGAGTGACTTCAGCCTGATCATCCATCGGATTCTCAACATCATCAGCGTCAAGGTCATCATCTGCAAAATCGTCAGTGATCTCGGGAGAGCCATTACCATCACCGCCAGTTAAGTCAATGAGATCATGGCGTCGCTTGGCATTGGTTTTGGAGGTTCTGGTTCCGTTTGGATTCACGCTCGTCTGCAGGTCACGCCACCCCACGATGGGTCGCATAGGGGGTTTATTTCTCTGTGAATATGATCAGACCAACAACAAGCAGAGGACGACTCGGATACTGCTGACCTTTGGGTGCACCCTAGTGAAATTACGGATCTTGACCATCCGTGTGATAGTTGCAGCATCCTGCCGATTACGAAGCGGTCCATTCATCCATGTGAATGCTGATGCCGTCCGCTCTTCAGCCATGGAGTTGCAGTGCAGTGAGAATAAGGCTACACAGAGAGACTATCAAGGCCAGTTAGAAAAGCATATTAGATGAACACGAGCAGGGACCTACCGCAAGAGGCTGGGCCATATTGTCCTGGTCATTGTTGAGGTTTTCCCACCATGATAGCGGGCTATCACTTGACGCGATAGGGCGGTTGAATGGGTATGAGGCTCTGACATAAACTCGAAGCTGTTCTTTGAGCCTGTCCACAGCATCGGGAGCGGTTAAGCCAGCAATTGAAACACCACGCTTTTCGTACTCGGTGCGGAGTAAACGAAGCAAGAAGCGTCCGACGCGCATGAGGGTTTCGGGGAGATCTGTGGAGCCAGTCTTGTCCTGAACAGTGAGGTTGGTGACGTTGATCCTAATGTTCTGGATTGCGAGTGGATTAAGGTCTTTCATGATCGCCGAACCCCGGTAACCTGTTATCAGTCAGACTCTGTTTCGGGAATGAGGATTGCATAATCAGGAACTTACGTGGGTTGAGGACAAATCCGGCGAGGTAGACATCATCAGGACTATCATTCACCATCTTGTCAAATCTAAAGTTTACGCAGCGGCGAATCTGCTCAGCGACGTCAACAGGGATCTCTGCCTGCAAGTCATCATCATCGTCATCATCATTTTGGCCACCCACTAGTAGATCGTGCATGCTTGCTGCAATAGCCAGCCAAAACTCGTATACACTTGAGACATCTGTGTGTGTGGCCTCGAGGCACTGCGTCGCTTTCGCAATCGGAGCAAGCACTTTGCAGAAGCGTAAAAGTTCGGCCTCAAACCGGGATGCGGATTTACGTCCCTCGACAAACACGTTATGACAGTCACGGTTCTATAGTTGTTACAGGTTAGATAAGGCGCAGTTAAATAGCAAAGTAAAAAATACCGGGATTGTGATCGTCTTCTTCGAGCATAACTGCTTGATGGCCGGATAGCAACGCAGTACAGACTTCCCTGCGTGATACATGGTAACAAACCGTGTCTTGCCAACGGATACAAGGCCGCGAGATATCTTCAACTGCTTTCGAGTGGATTTGAGTTGCGTTGTAGCAAAGGTCGAGTGCTTAAAATACTTGAGGGTTCGCCGGATCTTAGCAATGACCTAATATATTATGAGGTCATGTTGCATGCAAAAATAAATTACGGCTCATACCGGCGCAAAGAAAGGCATCCGACAAATGTCCTTGGCAAGGAGATTGCAGCAGTGGCATGGGTCCGGTAGAATCAGGATCCATGGATACGCGTCCTGAAGGAGCTTTCGAGCGCGCGAGGTATTACCAGTTGAGTCAGAAGACACTCCCCGGAAGTGCTCCGGACCAATAGACTTGATAACACGGTCCAGAACGCCAAAGATGTGCTCGCCAGTGTGGGATTGGTCAGATGCCTCATTGCCTTCGATGAAGAAGACAAGGCCGGAAGGTGTGGTGATATGGACTGTATAGACAGACTGCGGCAGGCGGGTAGTGTTTCCGTCGAATGATATGGACAGGTTAGAGCAGGTACGTAGATAGTCACGCTGCTGGATGTCAACGCTGGCAGCCTCTTGAGGGATGTGGTAATCAACTATAGTAGTGGATGATGCGGGCGAGTACTGATCATTGGCAATCTTCATCAACTTCTTCCACTCGGGTGAGTCTACCAACGTTGGCGGCACACCGCCAGTGCAGAGAAGCTGTAGCACAGCGAGATCCATACGAGCTTTGAACTGCTTTTGGTAGGCGTCACGCGAGATCTTTGCCATAGGTCCCAATCCAGTTGCGCTGGTTGCCTGAGAACTAGACGCCGGTTGCAACGCTTCGCCAACAGCAGCAACACCAGAATCCGACGACTTGTGACGCTTGCCCTCGCTTGACGCAGCTGCCTGAGCTTCAGCATCGAACTTGGCAACTAGCTGCCCAGGCGACTCATTCTTCATCTTCTGTCTGATACGGTTGACAAGGTCCCCCGGAAGACGATCACGGCACGGGCCCGTGACATGCTTGAAGATACGGCCCCTGGGACGATTTACCCAGTAAACATCGCACCCCTTCTCTGCAGCAGCGCACCGATAGATGAGCTTCTTGATACCCTTAGCCTTCTCCACGACTAGGTATGCTGGAACCGATGCCTTCAGGACGTCTGGGTCAATCTCCACTCCTCCCGATCTCTTCTTTGGGCCCTTCTCTTCGACGTCCTCGTAGCGGGCCATTACATCAGCGGGGTCAACCAGACCCTCGGGTACATCTTCTCCTGCAGCTGATGTGTCTGTTCTCACTCCTCTCCCACCAGTGCCAGACGCGTTGACAGCAGACACGTCGAATTGTTGATCAAGAGGACCAAACTGATCCCCGGTGAATGCCTGAGTGATCCAGCATTAGGTACGTTTCTCCTGATATCAGTGTATGACGCACCGTTGAACCATGGTTCTCTGCTGCTTCCGTCAGATCTCTAGCCCACTTAAGCATGACTGCCGAGTCACAGGCCCCCGGATCTCCAGATGCACGGCACTTCGCAATGGTCTCTTGCAAGACATCTACAACAGCAACCAACCCTGGCCCTCTCTCTGTGAGTATAATCGGCCCATCGCGTCGGCTTTGAGGGCAGAATGTTGATTCGAGGTCGTGATTGACTGCTCCTTCGTAACCCTTGTCGTTGATAGCTTCATCACTGGGCTTGTAATACTCGAATTTGACTTTTGATCCTATGGGTAAGCTGTCCGGAAGTGCTTCAAGATGAGATCGCAGGTCTGCAAGCAGCTGAAGGGTTGAGTGGTCCATTGAAATCGAGTGTAGCGGACGATATCTTCGAGAACTCTTACTGAAGCAGATTTTGTATGCTCATTGTTACAATGTTGATTTCAGTATATTAGCTGTCAATAACGGCCCGGTGTCCACCTCGACAACGCCGTGTACTCGGTACTAATAATGATATCTTGGAGGTCAGTGACCACCCTCCCAGGACCTACCCAGGTCACTAACGCGTTAATGACACGTCACTGACGTTAATGACCGGTTAGCCTGCCCTAATTCCCACAACCACCCAGTGGCTCACCGTACACTAGTGCAAAATTCACATCATTCAAACCCTACAGTGACTCGAAGACGGGTAGGCAGATCGGAGAATCTCTGGAAGGCCACGGGCGCATGGACGACAAGCGTGAGAGCGTGAGACGTCAAGCTTCGCCTCGAGCGAGGGCTGCGTGCGTTTGCTGTGAGGCGGAGCACACGTCTCTTTGCAACCCCCCATAGTAAGTGCCACCCTCCGTGTCGTTCTAGCTACTCAACTTTCCGCGTTTCTCAAGATAGTTACAAGGATGCCGCCTTCAGAAACGTCTTTAGACTCCGGAGGCAGCGCTGGCACCCCGAAACCCTTTGAAGGGCACACTGCCGATGTGCTTGCGGTCGCCTACTCTCCCGACGGCACCTTGATCGCGTCGGGCTCTTGGGACAAGACGATAAGAATATGGAACTCAAAAACGGGTAGCCAGGTCGGAAAGCCTCTGGAAGGTCACGGGTTCTCGGTCTATGCAGTCGCGTTCTCTCCTGATGGTCGTCGCATCGTCAGCGGATCAAAAGACTATATGCTTCGTGCATGGGATGTTGGCATGCAGGAGTGTGCCGTAGGCCCTTTGGAAGGGCATACCGAAGCTGTGACCTCGGTTCAGTACTCTCCGGATGGCCAGCGCATCGTTAGCGCGTCGTCGGACCACACCATTCGATTGTGGGACGCACAATCGGGAGAGTCCATTGGAACGCTGCAGCATCCGGACGAGGTCATGCACATCAGCCTTTCTCCATGCGGACAACGGATCGGAAGTGCCTGCAATGACAGATTGGTGCGAGTATGGGATATGGCCTCACAGAGGCTCGCCCTTCCGCCTCTTTCTGAGCACAAATCGGAGGTCGACGCTGTGGCTTATTCGCCAGATGGACGACTGCTGGCTAGTGGAGGTCGCGACTGGACCATCTGCTTGTGGGATGCTATCACCGGCAAGCTACTCGAAGGACCGCTAAAGGGACACCGACTTCCCGTGTCGAATCTCGCGTTTACACCTGACGGACAGATGCTCATCAGCGCGTCACAAGACAGAAGCATCCGTGCTTGGGATCCGATGACAGGCGACTGCCTGCGAGGTCCGATTTATATTGATGGATTGACTAGCAGCATGTCAGTCTCTCCCATACAACAGGCAGCGGTCTACGTCTATGAAAGAGGGTCAAGCTTGTGTATCTGTAATATTGACGCAGACGAGCTCATTCTTCCTAAAGTAAGTGATCCAGTAGTTACTGAGAGTGTAAATTGATACGCTGCTATGGAAGGGACCTAGGTGGAAGCCTTCTAAAGGCGACCTGTATGTATGATTCAATCTACAAGCCACGCCGTCGCGTAAACGCTCCGGCTCCAACGGCGAACAGGTTTAGGTCCAGGATGAAGTCACGTGGCTTAGGTCTAGGTGCACGAATTAATACACACCGCTTAGTGTAAGTCACACGGTGACGCGCACCATAAGTTCTACGCAGAGGTACAGTTCACTAAGTAACGCGTAACTACATCAAATTTAATGACCTGATTGTGACGTAACAGTGAGTTTAGACCAGGAGATTGAGATTGATACTGCGACATACCTGGCAGCAAGCAAAGTCCTCAGGATAAGAGGTTCCAGTTCGATTACATTACACTTGAGCAAACCGGCACTGATAGTAACTTGTTCGCCCATATGGCAAAAGGAATCCTTCGAGATGTCTAACGAACACTCGATAGATACAGATTCATACTGGTCTTCAAAATCTCCGGTACAGATAATGGTACCGGCGGTGAATGATTTTCCGTCTCTTGTGACAAAGAGGCCAAACACATTAGATGAAGGCACAAAGCGACCTGGCGTGCGATGGCTATGCAGCCGAAGATACTGAACAGAGAAATGGTACATGAAAGCGCCCATGCGGTTCGAAAGATCGGTCCCTCCCGTGACATGAAAATGAATGCAGTATTGTCCTTGGTTATGGAAACGCATGTAGGGAGTAGCTCTCGACCAGACCATTAGAATCTTGAAGTCATTCTCTAAATCGTCTGTAGAGGTTGAGACACGCTACATCCATATTAACATCAGCTCAAATCATGAAGCAACAACTCACGTCGCACAGCATCGTTTTTTGAAGACAGACAATGACGCGTTGCATAGCGAGTAAGTCGTCTCCTACATAGTCGAAACACTTTGAAGTATATCGAGCCATAGTAAAATCGAGCGGAAGTTCATTGGCAGACTCTTGCTCTCGTAAAGAGAACAGTCTAGGAAATACTGTTAAAGCAGAGTTGAGTCACAGGTGGAAAAAACAATTGCTCAGTCTATACGTACGACGTTGACCGGCAGGCGTAAATAGCAAATCTGAAGTAAGTGTTGCTACGGACATTGAAGCTACG